AAATAATTAGTGGATTGACAAATTACAATCAAAACCATTAACTTTAAAATTTTAGTTGCAAAGAATATAATTAATTATTCAAAATATTTATATTTATTAATATGAAGAAAAATTAAGAATAAATCAATTTATATGAACAAAATATTTAAAAATTACATAAATTAAAATAATATACAAATAAAAATAATATTTAATTTTTTATAATAAATTAAATTAACTTAACAGATTTAAATCACAACAAATTTAGATCATTAAGGAATAAAATATTTTAAAAAATTAATATAATAATAAAAAAAAAAAAAATAGAAAAGAAACCAAATTAAAAATAAATTAATTTCGTGACAATATTTTGATTATATATAATTACGACACTTTTAAAAATACATGGACTATAGAAACCTATAAAATTTTAATTAAAATAAAAAATCATAGTAAACAAATAACTTGAAAATTCAGCAAAGTTAGCAGAAATGAAGGAGATAGAAGAAAGTAAAAGTGAAAGGGAAAGAAAGTTTTCTGGCGAGTTCCGCAGGGAATTTATTTGGCAACTCACGAGCAGGACGGGGTCAAAGGACACTGCACAGCGTGTCGTATGCGTAATATACGCTTATTGTCCTTTCTAACGACGACATTTGTTTGGCTTAATTGTCAATAAATAATTGTGAAAAGTGCGCACTGCTTGGCCATTAGAGAGCGATGTTTGTTGTTGTAGATAGTTGTTGTTGTTGTTATTGTTATTGTTGTAAGCGAAAACACACACACACACACACACACACACACACACACACACGAATTCGCACATCATTTTTCAAGCTCAGCAGCGATAACAACAGCTGCAAAAATACGAATCATACGAAGATGCTGGCACAACAGCCAGCAACCCCTCTAAAGAGGGAGAGAGCGAGAGAGAGAGAGTAATGATGATGATGAGCTGGAGTTGAAGTTGGTGTAACGGTTGGGGTTGGGGCAGGGGTAGTAGGTAGTCCCACTGCCTGGCAACGTTTATCCTTTCACCATGGCCGATCAACCGCAAGTTACAAATGTCAAATGTTGTTTTTGTCAAAAAGGCTTTCGCAATGCGCCACCTCCTTCACGGACAACCCTTATGTGTGCCACGCCTGCCGCCTCCCGCGTCGCACCAGGCCCTAGCCCGGTTGGCAAAAGGTGCCATGACGCATCATTTCTATTATTTAGCAAAAAAAAAAAAACGGAGTAAGAAAATTGCAGTCGAGCGTTACCGACTGCAGAATACTCACTCACGGCCCAAACGTGAGGAGATCCCATCCATATCCCTATTTCTAACATATTACTGTTTGTCAACAAGAGTATATATTCCAAATTTCTGGTATCTGGCATTAATAATGCTCGAGCTCCGTATGTATCTGTATATATTTGTATAAATATAGTGGGATCCGATTTTCACGACTAATTTTCTATCAACCTTTATTAAATCTTAACAGTAACTCACGTGTCAAACATGGGCTTTCCAGCTATAGAACATAAAAATCCTCCTAGATTAGCCACGCCCCCAATGGGCATAGATATATCCTTAATATATCGATGTCTTATTGATTTTCTACTGTCAACCCGAGTATATATTCCAAACTTGAACTCCCCAGCACTTCAACTATTCTGATTTCTGAGATCCCGGAAACTATATTTTCCGATTCACCATATGCATATGTTCCGAATTTCAAGTCACGGACATTTCACAAAACTAATATACTCAACACTCTCTCCTGGATGAGCACAAAAAACCGAAGAAGAAGAGGAAGAGGAAGAAATATCTACGCATTACGATTTGAAACGTCGCTGACATTGACTGACATTGATGACAATGATGACGCACAAAGTAGCTGAGAGCAGCATCCCCCCGCACCTCTCTCTCGCTCCCATAAGGATATTGACTGACTCAAGTGTCTGAGTTCTTAACTCTTTTGATGTTTTTGCATGTGCCATCAGCTGCATTTCGTAGTCAAAAAAGTGAAGGAAAAAAACAGCTGCAGCATCTGAAATCCGTCATGAAGCATCATTTGTTATCAGAGTTGGTTTTAGCCAAAGAAATAACTATTGATTGATTGATTGATTGACTGCGAAGCAGACGTAGAAAACATCAGTTTTAGTAGGAAAAACCAAATTTATTATGGATGATCTATGCATAAAGATATCATATTTTTGATATACAAATATTTCATTTTTGAGTGAATATATAATACAAGATAATATACAATAAGATATTATAATAAAATGTAATATTAAAAATAATATAAAATAAAAAAATCATATCTTCATGAATTTCTTATTTTAGTCTAACAATCAAATAACATAGATTTGATTTCCTTATTAAAAATAATAACTTTTTTTTTTTTGTATGTTTTTTTTTTTTTTTTTTTTTTTTCGCGTCAACAAAAATTATTTTATCTGAGACTTCAATATTCCAAGAAGGAAA